AGACCAAAACACTGTTGAGGCATTGGAAATGGTAAATGACAAAGTATGTATAAGGGCAACTGAAGGCAGAGGAAAGTAGAAGAGCAGTTTTTAATAGCAGTTAGTGCCTGAGCGTGTGATGCTTCACGACAAGAGGGGGCAGCACTGAACTGAACATACTCATTTTTCTCTAGGAAATCGTGGAAATTATCTGCAGGCCTGATGGAAGCTTGAAGTCTCTGCTTACAAGGTTTCTTGGTGAGAAGCAGCAGTCACAACTTGTCCAAGCACTGAACATGCAGGCGGATGATGTGGTGCTGCTGGCTGCTGGTGAAGAAAAGCAAGTGGTAGGAAGCATTTCTTGGGTGGCTATGTGAGTTGACTGTTGCTGATGATGAATTTGTTATCTAATTCTAGTCTAAATCTATTATGTTATCTAAATCTAGTCTTAATTCTTCTTGGTGTTAAAATAGGTAATAATCTAATTCTAGTTTTTTTTGGAGCTGAGCTATAGCAGCAGCAAATAATGCATGTAATGTACCTATTGCTTTTATTTCTGTTAGTCATATTGTGGGTAGAACTTGTACCTGTAATGAAAGCTGGATTATAAAACAGGAACAAATCAGTGCCTTCTTTTCTCTCACCTTAGCTTAATTTTTAAAGCATCAAATAGAGATTGGAAAACATGGTCAACTAAGTAATTTCATCTCCCATAGGCAGGTGACAAAGTGAAGCACTGTTTATTAGCAGCAGTGATAGGAGATTCTGTCCATACTCTTCTCTGTATTCTTGCCAGCAGATACTGCTTTCCAGGCATTGGTTTATGACAAGGTGTTATGCTTTGCGTGATTGTCAAAATGTTGTCATATTCTTCCTATGTCTTCATTTGTCTGTCTATAAAGTGCAGATCTTATGAGTGCTTCCTCAGTTAATCCACATTTGTTGTGTGGAGCTTGTGGTTAGTCTAGACAAGTTCTATGAAGGTGGAACAGTTGGAAGAAAATGGACTTTCTAGCTCCTTACGTGGTCTTTGTCAAACCCTGGAGTTGATGCTGCCTCAGCAGGAAGGTGGTATATTTCAGGATACAAGGCAAAAGTGTTCAAGGCAATAGTGCATTGACAGCTGATGCTGTCTGTGGTATAGAATCTCTCTATGAAACGCTCTTTCCCTGGTCAGTGCTTGAGTCACAGTAGATTGCGTCATCTCATTCGCTCCATTCTGTTTTGCAGTGCTCTGCATTAGGAAGCCTCCGGTTGGAGAGTGCTGACCTCCTTGAGGCGGCTGGGCTGGTACTCCGTGATCCTGCAGCTTTTCACTTTCTGTGGGTGGTGGATTTTCCCCTTTTCCTCTCAAAAGAAGACAATCCCACTGAACTGGAATCTGCTCATCACCCTTTCACTGCCCCTCATCCTTCAGATACCAGCCTCCTCTATTCTGATCCCACAAAGGTAACTAAATTACAGCTGTGTGTTATGGAAAGCTAGGCAAGAAAAAGAGATGTTGTTTTATGGAACTGACTGCATATTGTATGTGTCTGTCTGGAAGAGATGACTTTGAGATTATTCCAAGTGGCAAATATCCATGTGTGCCCCTGATAAAAGGGATTTATGGGAAGCAGTTGCTTAAGGTGGAGTCTTGTATTCTGACCCATCTCATTTTGCTTCGTGTTTTGATAAACTTTGCAAAAGGATTTGTACTGTTCCTGTATCTCTCAGCAGCAGTCCATGCGTTGGATAAGACTGGTAGCTGAACTGCAAGATACTTTTGAGGGCAGTGTTGTAGTATGGCATGGCTTTGTTCCCAATGTCTTTGACATCTGGATGCAGGTCGCTGTTACATCCAGCTGTGCCCCAGCCTTGCTAAGGTGCTTGTTCATGTCTTTCTGCAGGTCCGTAGCCAGCACTATGACCTTGTGTTAAATGGCAATGAAATCGGAGGTGGTTCCATCAGAATTCATAGTGCAGAACAACAGCGTTTTGTGCTGGAGAAAGTGTTGAAGGTAACACCTACCTAGAGATGTCTCTGACATTCTCCTGAAGTTTTAAAGGGCTAATTAAATATCCATTTCAAATTCTGAAAGAAACACTTGTGTGTTTCTCAGATAAAGACATGTAACTCCTAGCCCTGAGTGATGGATGACTTCATCATACCTTCCTCTTACATTGCTGATAGGAGGAGCATTGCTTGTCCAGTGACACTTGCGTAATTTTACAGGAGGATTCTGAGGTGCTTTCCCATCTGCTTGAGGCTTTGGAGCTTGGAGCTCCACCTCATGGAGGAATTGCTTTAGGTAAGTGCTCTGTAGCTTACTAGATGCGGGTGTCTTGTGACTTTCTGGCATGTTAGATTTCAGGAACAAGTTTCATGCTGGTTAGCAAAACCCATGTCTCCTTCTGACAGAGATAGCTGTCCTGGTGTTGCTGTTTGGTACACTAATATGGTAACACTGTGTAGGCTTACACAGCGCTTACATCTCTGTAGCTGTTTTGTAGAAGGAAATGGGTCTCGTCACCATGTGCAGAATGTTTTGGTGTTCCTTCCCAGCATCAGTGTGATTTAGTTCTTATGCAATGACCAAATCATATGTTGGTGTGTCTAAGAGTGATCCTTATCTCCTGTTCTACAGTGTACTCATTAAGATTAGGTCACCTTTATTCTCATTCCTGTGCAGCCAGAGCAGCATTCCTCTACTGCATGCCTAGAGGCCTGGGACACCATGATACTTTGTTTTCCATGAGCTGGTTCATTGACTCGGTCTTGCCATCTCCATCAGTCTTGCTTCCATTCTTCCTTATCTGTTTTGTGTACTAACTTGGTGTCAGATTTTTTTTTTTGTGGTTTTATAAAAGGAAAAAAACAAAATACCCGCAACCAAAACAAAAGAAACCGGCAAAACTAGCAACCCCCTCCCCAAAAACCTACAAATAACAAAGGCAGCATTTTAACCTGTGGCCTTCCAGTGTGATTTCTTTCCATCTAATTACCCAGAGGCTCTTGTTCTTCTTTAATTCCTCCTAGTTGCTGTAATCCTTCAGAACTGGATGATCAAAATCTTTGAGCAGTTAAGCAGAACCCTAAAGCCCTCAGTCTTCTTGCCATTTAGCTTCCCTCATTTTGTCACACTGCCTTTCTGTAGGCCTGTTTTTTTTTTGTAGGCTTTTTTTTTTTTTGTAGGACTTGATGTGTTGCAGAACTTTGTGTAATATTGAAAAGCTTTATTTTGCTAGGCATTTCTGGTCTTCAGGCAAATCTGTTTCTCTGCTACTAGTTAATATTGATTTATTTTTAGATTATTTTTTTGCCCCCTTGCTTCACTTTCATCTTCAGGCTCAGTAGTATTATCTACTACATCTTTCTGATCTTTCTGAATTGGAGGAAGTAACACAGGGCCATAACTCAAGTGGTTCACCAATTTGTTTTGTGCTTCTAGGACTTGACAGACTGATCTCTCTCATTGTTGATGCTCCAAGTATCCGAGATGTTATTGCTTTCCCTAAATCCTTCAGGGGACGAGACCTGATGGGCAATGCTCCAGACTATGTCACTCCAGAAGAACTAAAGCCGTATCACATCCAGGTTTCCTGGCCTCTAGAGGAAAAAGAGGCAAAGAAAAACTGACTTAAAGACAGTGATGTAAGCTGATCTGTATAACTAGAGGTGCTTCTGAATTAAGTTCAGAAGACATGAATGGGAGGGTGAGGGACAGTACAACTCACTGTACTATGACAGTTTCAGGATTGAATGGGAGATAGGGCTCCCTGATAGGAGTTCACCTTTAGTTGGTAATGGAAAGGAGAGCTAGAAATTAGCTAATTCTAACATAGGATATTGAGACTGTTGCCTTTGTGGTGTTATTGATATATATTTTATCTTCCCCCCCCCCCCCCAATTTTTACATGTTCCTTTCAAAGCATTTCTACTCCCATCTGGAGGAGATAATGTTAGCTTCCATGGAAGGATGGTTTATATTCCTGATGATCATTGAATCTGTTAGTTGAGGACTGTCACAATAAAGCAGTGCTGTGCTGGGCCAAAAGCTCTGGACACTTCACAGCAAAACTTTATTATAGCCGGAAGCTTGTCTAATGTTGGGAAATACAAGATCCTCCAGAACTTGCCACATGGAGTTCATATTCTGCTGTGTTCCCCCTTTAAAAAGGGGAAGTGTTCATAACATTGGCAACAATTGTCCTTGTAATACTTGTCTAAGAGGTGATGATCTGTGTTTGGGGCCTGTGGTCCTTGTGCTTTTCAGCACGTTAATTCTGAAGTTTGTATATTTCTAAATAAAGTTCATCTGGCAAAAGTGTTTTTGACTGAGCTTGGCTTTGGGCTTCCTTTACAAGACCAAGGTGTCAGTTTTTCTTTGTGACCCTCGATCACTCCAGGAGATGACAAGAAATCTGTGACAGCAGAGCAGGGTTGCAGCAGCAAGTTCTGCACAAGTGACTGTTCATTGCTGTCCCATGCCAGAACAGCCACAGTGCAGAGTGTGGGCTCTATGAGCATTGTACCACACCAACTCTGCTCTGTAGTGTGTAGTGAGCCCTCTGCAGAGGCACTCCAGTAGATGTTCTTAACTCTGTGTTTAGGTTGAAGAAAGCAGAGAATTGGTGGGAGGAAATGAAGGAGGTGAAGAAGCTGTGGAAAAAAGAAGAGGTTACCTGAACAAGCTAGGAAGATGATGCAAAGGAAGAAGTGCAGAGCTGCTGTGTCCCAGCTGGGAAGGACAGAAGGAAGACTGCAGTTCTTGGCTGAGCTGATGCTGAATGACAGCCTTAGGGTCTCCTGACAGATCCTAATGAATTCTGGGCTGCTGTAAGCATTATCAGCTAATTCGGACCCCCCATTGTGGGGTAACATTACATGGTGGTGTACACTGTTCCTTTTTATTAAACACTGGGCTGTTGTGATGATAACAAACAGTAAGGGAGGTGGCTCTTCTTAAGATTGTTTTAGGTTGTGGTTTTTTTGGTTGGTTGGTTTGGATCATCTGTGTTCCTAAAGCAGGGGTGTCAGAGGCTTGACTGGGGACATAGCATCACAGAAAATAACAGTTACTCTGAGCAGCTCTTCATTCCCCCCCATTATTTATAGTAACTGTAAGCATAATGTGCTGAACTTATTTAATTGTGAAATAAGGAGTACTGTATTACTTGGTTAGTAACCCTTTGCAAACGCAAATGTTTACATCTGAAGAGTCCCAGTTCTTTAAATTAGGATTATCATCGAATGTTCAAGGGGTAACTGATGCTCTAAGAGGCTTATGCAGGAATGTAAGACTGCCTGGAATGTTCTTGAGAGCACTTGTGAAAACGTGAGTAAGCTGTCTCTGAGGCATATGCATCTGCTGTCTTGTGCAAGTTATTCTGTGTGATTTTCGTTTACCCACTGCTATATTAAGGACTCACTGCAGTTGTAAGTGTGTGACACAGTTACAATTAGAGTGAAAAAAAAGATGCAGCAAGTCATGTCATCTGAGCTGCTTCAGTCCTGCTGCAAGTAGGTCAGTGGAAAAGATGTATCCCAAATTTGTAGACCATCTGTGCTTGGATTTGTGAATGAAGGTGGCTTACTAGCATGTGAATTTGTGGTTGTGTGAATATTGCCACAGAGAAGACATTAATTGTTTGGGATTTTTTATAGGTGTCCTGATTTAGGACAATCTACTTGGTATACTTAGCTGCATATTTTGGTAGAAGACACAATAGACAGGTATTACAATGAAATATGTATAAATAAGGGGTGGTCATATTGCAAACTAGTATCTTGTGTTTGCTGGAGAAAAGTTGCTGCCCTGTGATTCTGAAAATGAATGTTAAAAGCACAGCACAAAGTCCATCAGAAAGTCCTACTGAAAATAAGCTACAGCGTAACGGCAAACCAGAGTCTTTCACAGAGCCCTTGTTACTTCTATTCTCCTTTCTTTTTCTTTTCCCTGTTTGAGATAAGCCTATGGAGAAATGTTGCTATGTCCACTATGCTAGAAGGTGCAAAGTTCTGGATTCTTTTGCTGAGAGTTAATCTTTAAGTGATCTTTTCATTAGAGGTGTGATGTGTAAGAAAAGGTTGGTGGGTTTGTATTGCTGTATGGTTTGGGTTGGTTGGGGTTTTTTTTCCCTTCCTCATGCAGCAGAACTCTCCAGGCCCAAGTCAAACTAGCAGTGTAACTCTGCTCATCAACTTAATGAGAGTTCAAAATCCTTGAGGGTGCCTTTATGCTATGCTTTTTTGTCCAAAGAGCAATAAATAATACAATTAATATGTGCAGGCTTCTCCCTGTGTTGGAAGTACTAAGACTGTTGGCTGTTGCCAGAAATGCTGCTCCTACCCTGGCAGACAGAGCATCGCACCGTGCTCCAGTATGCACGCATGTAATATTGGTAACAAAACCCCATACCATTACTATCTATGGATTCCTGCAGTGATCTCCATGTGTCATTGTGACTCTTCTGCTCTTTCTTCAATCTCTTTTCAGTGTGTGTGTGTGTATGATGGACAAGATAAATGCCAAGCCTCTAGGCACCCTATCTGGAGCAGCTGGATTTGTTGGAAGTAAGAATCACCAGCTGGATAGAGATGCTGCCTGAGGATTTGGTTTGGGTCTCTGCAGGTACAGATCAGCTTGTGATGGTTGAGTGTGTTCTCTGATGTAGTCTACTCAACTCCAGAGAACTTAATGACTAGCATACGCAGAATTGTACAAGGAATGCTCTTGCGGGAGCCAGAGTTGTATGTCAGGTTTTTGTACCAGCTTGCTGATTTTCTGTTGGAACTGAAGTAAACACTGGTAAAATGGAGAGACAGTTTATCCTCCACCTGTAGGGGACCTGGCTCTGCATATTTCAAAAGATTTAACTAGAACAATCATCTAGTAAGTTCATACCACCCATTTGTAACATCAGAGATGTTTCTGGTTTGTTTCAGTATTTTTTTCCCTGCCTTTCCAGAATAGAAATATAGCATGCTGGTGGGATTCTCAGCAGCTGAAGTGTGTTCTTTTTCTTTTCTTTTTGAAAATTTTCCAAGCCTACCCAGAATATTTCAGATTGGGCCAAGCTGGGGGGAGATTGCAGTGCTGAATTTCAGCCGTCTCAGATGGCTTGGGTGAATTTGGCTGCAAGGGTTTTGTACAACTGCCACAAAGACAGGAACTGTTTTCAGAACTGAAGCTGAAGTTTAATCCTATACTGTGCTGGTAGCTCTCTAAGGTTAGCTAAATTATAATACAACTTCACAGCAGCTTTGTGTGATCCCAGGCTGCAGATACCTGGAGGTTCAGGGTGCTGAATAAATCCCACTTCTGGGATTTAATCAGACCACTGTTATGTAACAATGTTATAATTTGTTACAAATCAGAATAAATTTTCAAAGAATGATTTCAGCTGTTTTCAGCTGAGTTTGTACCCACTATTTTACCCTATGGGGAAAGGGGGAGAGCTACAGCTGTATAGTCACTCTTCTATAGCCCAAGTCTGATAGGAGGACACGTGTATAATTTTCCTCTGTCTTGGAGAGTATGGAGACCTTAGCTCAGACATGATGTAAGGACACTCAGTGCGGTGGAAGCCAGAGAACATTACTTGGCTGTACAAAGCTACTCCTAGAGCTAGACTGAATGCTAGAGCCAGTGTTGTTTTATGTGAGCAGGAGTTGGTGGTTTGAATGGTGAATCTTCTCCCTAGGAAGGCATGACTCTACTGCTCTATTTCACTGGGGTCTGTCCCATTGAGAGGGATGGAGAAAGCACGCTGTCAGGTGATGCTGCACTGGTATCCAGCATCTGGTGAATACAGGTAGCCTCAGAAAAAAAGTCCATAACGGTAAGAGTAGAAGGATAAAGAGAGCTTACGTAAGGGTTTCTGCTTTTTCTCTGCTTACTTTATGCCTTTAGTTGCTTGCAAAATGATTTGTTTTGACCACACATTCTGGCTATTTTCAGTGTCAGTAACCAGCTGTCTTGTGAGGATACCTGGTACACTCTTTGGCCTGTGTGTTAACAGCAGCAGAAAAAGCATAGATAACTGACAGCCACCTTAATGGTAGCAGATGGAAATTCCTCGTGTAAGCCTCACATGACTTCATCTCTAAATGTCTGGATTCTTATTTTAGGCTTCTGTTCTAGTTTGTTGCTTTTTTTTTCAAAGCATTGTTTTATGTAATTAAAAAATGTTGATTACCTGCAGTCACCAGCTGTGCCAGCCAAAATTTTACATCAGGCAGAACTTTGTGACGGATACATTTAAAGGGATTGGTCACATTTGCCTTTAATAATCCATCAGGCTCCAGATGTCTTGTTCTGCTTTGATAGCCTTTATGTCTCCTTTAATGCTGGAGTTCAAGAAAAGCATTATAGACAGCTCTCCCGTTAATTTAGTCACATTTTAAATGTATTTGTATTTCTACAGCCATGAGTTCTGTTAAATTGTGTGTTATTCTAGAAAGTAATTCCTCTTGCTTAATTTAAATCTCTCATCCTTTCACGAGGTACCTTCCCATGCAGGTTATTAGAAGGAGTGAATACTCAAATTTTTTGTGTTTTCATTCTGCCCATTACTTCATGAATTAATCTGTTTTTCAGTCACATCCATTTTAAGCTGTACAGTTTTAGGGTGATTTCACCTGCCTGCATGCCTCCTGTGCTACCAGCACTGACTTTCCCTACACACATCAGCAGCTAAAGTGGCCAAAAGCTGATGCTGTTTTATGCTGTTTTATGCTGTTTGGAGGGTGTTTCCCCTTATGTGCTACTGTTTGTATTTATCAACCTTCACTTTCTGGTCTGTACTGTGTAGAGGTACTAAATAACTTTTTTGGTACAAAACCTAGTATTAACTATGTACTTCAGGTAATACTTAAAAAAAAATAAAATGAATTACCAGAAAGATCACAATGTACCTGAAAAAGAAAAATAAGTTTTGGCAATGCTCTGTGCTTTCCCAAGTACCAGATGTATACCAAAGTGAATGATATAAAAACATTTCTGAGAACGGTTAGTACAAGGGGCAGATACAGTGGTGGTTTTCTCTGGAACAACAGTCACAGTTACTATTGGATTTTTTTATATTATCCTTTATTTGGAGAATGCTAGACTTAACACACTTCCAATCCTGAAGATTTTACTTGTTTACTTAGCAGTTTGAAGAGAACTGTACTTGAAGGTTTCAGCAATTTGATGGTGTCCCTTGAAATGTAGGCTCAGTTGTCATCAGTTCAATTTTTCTTGTCATTATATATGTATAAAGAAACAGATGTCCAGTATGGTTCTGTAAAAAAAAGCCTTAAATATGTTTTTTCTTGTAGCATGAACAGAACTAATTTGACAACAATTACAGTGCCAGGGCTGTGAGTAGGTTGGTACAGAGCAACACTAATCCTTTCAAACAGCATCACTTCACTTTGGCAAAACAACAGTGTCTAGATCAAAACGGATGTGATATTTCCTCTGTGTGATACAGCCCCTGCTAACTGTAGAATGGCATTTTTTCGCAGCTCTGCACAAGCATATTGTAGAACCAGTAGGAGAGGTGGGTGCATGACAGGCTGACTAGCTCAAGGTCACACAGGGTATTGTCCAGATGGAACATCCCAGGAGCACTGTAACAGTTCACAAAGAAAGCTTACTCATCTTTAACCTCGCATGCTTCTTCACAAAGGAAAATGCTGGAGTTTAAATAAAAGAAGTACTGTTTCATATTTCCTATAAAAATTTAAAAAAACAATTATGGAAGGCAAGAACTTAATTTGGATGTTTAGGATGTCTTGTAAAAATCCCAAGAATAATTTACATAGATTTCGAAGTGAAAGCGTGAATTCTTATTACATATTTTCGATGTTAAAATTGTATAGCTAAAGCCAGATCCAGAAAAAAACCACAGATTCTTTTAATGGGGAGAGCGTAATTTTAGCACAGTTGCCACAGAAATACAAAAGACCAAGCTCTGCCCACAGTTGCCTTTGGAGATAGATTGCTGGTTTTAATGCATTTGCAGGAGCCACATGAAGATATCTGGCATGCTGTTGGTAATTGCATTTGTGGAAGATGAGATAAATATTGATGAATATAAACATCCATTAAAGGTAAGTTCACTAGTTAAATAACTACACTGATTAATATGAAGTACTTTGCAGTCATGAGGACATTAAGATGAAATTGACTTTCAGAAAGTAAGTTTATAACTTTATTAATGCTATCTGAAAAACCTATTTAAATCCAAGCTGTGAGCTTGCAGACCACTTATTATGTCAAGGACATTTCCATCCCTCTCTTCTGTTCTTCACTATTTCCTTGGCAGCACCAATCTAAGCGTTTGAGGGATGCCCGGTAACCAGCATTATTTCAGCTAGGACCAGTTTCTGGATCCAGCACACTGCATGGCCTCTTAAACAGCTGCTGCAGCTCAGGTGAGCGATAGGAGTAGGTGGCTGACGTTTGGAGAAAACGGGAATGAGCTGATGCTGAAGTAAAATAACGTGCGGTTAAATCATGCTGCCACCTTGTGGCTCCTGTTTAAAAAGATTTAAAATACTGAAAAGCATTAATCAGAATCTATCATACAACAGGAGGAAACACCGAAGCTGTTCTTTAAATAGCCAGTGACACAGACAGAAGATTTTTGTGTGTTTTCCTAGGTGTTACTGTTCCCTTTGAAACCATAAAGTAGGTTGCTGTCTTATTCCTTATCCTTTCACAATAGTGTGAACTAAAAACCTGGAGGTGCACAGGGTGTAATATATGTATCTTCTGTGATACTATCCATCTTATTATGGAGAATAGACATCACATAATATGCTGTTATAGAAACTTGAATGCATTTATGCATTTAATAAATTCATAAACCAAAAATAGAGTTAAATATGGAAGTTGATTGGTAGTGTTATTTATTAAGTATACCTGGAGGATAAGTAAAATTGAGGCTGAGAAGTCTCTCTGAAGTTTGTTGGAAGCTGTGTCCTCCCTGGTTTCATAAAAGAAGAAACAATGAGGGTGAGTTACCTTAACTTGCCTTGCTTTCAACAGTCAGGACTTGAACATGATTCTACGTTCCTACATGAACAGTAGGATGTTTCTAATTAAGCTTAATACTTCTATGACCTCTTTGGCAGCTCTTGTTTCACTTGACCTTACTTTTGAACTGCTGTAGGTTTGTTCTGGATTTTTTTCTCTCCGTGGATCTAGGATTGCTCTTGCTAGCGTCTCAGATTTCTTCTCTGTCTGTAGATGACTCAGATTCCCTTAGTTACTGTGGTCCCTGTTCCAGGCACAGGGGTCTCAGGAGGCAATGCCTCCTGGCAGCTCTATATGCTTATCCAAATCTTTTTTCAGGGCATTCTGAGACTATACAAATAGTACTTAATAGTTGCCATTTGCCACTTATAACGCTTCATGTAATGTATCATAGAGGGTGAGCTGGACTGTGCTGCATAGCTTGCATGGCCAAATGAGACTTTATTCCTCCCTCTCCCTAGCCTGGTTTCTCTGTCAGTATTACAGCTTGGTTTATTGCAGGCTTTCTAACTTAGGGCTTGCTTCTTGAGCAATGGGAGCGAGCTTTTGGTGACACTGACCTAAAGTGCCATGACTAAATTAATAACCACAGTTCTGTCTTTGTA